CTTTTGGATCCCTTTTGCTGTGCCTGGCGTGTATGTGTATATGCAGCGGGTGTGCGTGTGGTGCTGTGGGCTCGTTAGCGGTGCTTGTGCTGACTCAAGATGTATAGACGCATTTCTCTGCTGCCTGGCAAGCATCCATGTTCGATGCCTTTTTTGGAAGAAACAATTCACTAAACATGGTGCAGGTCTCGGACTGGTAGGAAGGGCCCGTATGCAGCATACTATGTGCATTTCCAGCCAGGCACTTGTTCTATTGGTAGGTTGTCTCCAGCTGATTTCCACCGTCGTCATCGCTATCCATTCATTTTGTGATCCCAATCCATTGCGGCTAATGCGGCTAATACCACATTATGTACAGGATGTGGTCTGTGGAACCCCGAGTCAGAGCCACTTGCACTGCTGCGAGAGGATATCGATGAGAACTCGGCTGGCTTAAAGGACGTGCTCCGGGCGCCGGATATGCGTCGTAAATTTCTGAAGGGAGCGCCCGACGATGACGATGCGGTTGTGGACGCTTTTGTGCATCACAATAGGGAGTCTGCTCTCAAAACGAAGCCCAAGGTATGCCGTTTTCTGTTGTCTATTGCCCCCTCACTGCAATGTGGAGTGTATTGTCCATTGAGACGGATTTTCCTCCTTCGGTCCTTCGTGTTGTGCTTCGGTTGCATCGTCAGCTGTTCGTTTATTATTTATGGGCTGGGACGCGAAATTCTTGTGGCAGGGAACACAAGGTCGCCATCGATGTTTCATCGATGGTCCGACCGGGGTTGGTTTTGGGAACGGAAGTCACTTCCATCTTCGTGTGTCCAAGGCTTATGCCCAAGTGGCAATGGTCCAATGAGATCATGGAGACCAGATCTTTCTGGACCAAGAGATTCCTTGGTCGGACTGCTGGGTGCGACCACGGCTCCTCCAGAAGATGGCAGAGATCTGGCACATGACGATTCTAAGAACCCAAGAGTTTCCACAAGTGTCCCAAGTTCTTCAAACCAAACGAAAGAGATGTGGCGCACGGGGTTACGGGAAAGGCCAAGCCGTTTCAGGCCAGTTTTCCCGAACCGTAACCATGGAACCCGAGCAATTTGGCTGATCTCAATGGGGGAATCGCACTTGCTGGAAGGGGATTTGTTATCACGCCGTCGAGTTTGGTTCCATGGTTCATTAATGCGCCAGGCTCCACGTCTGATCCATGGATGAGATTTCCTTTCCGCTGACACTCCTTTCCATGTAGGGCTACGAGGCTGACAACAAGAACATCAAATTACTTCGACTACGCAGTTTTACTATTGGAAAGCCCATTTCGGACGAGGAACTCACTGGAGACGATGCTCAAGAGAAGATTGCTGCTTTGGTTGGGGTCATGGAACCTTTCGTAAGCTTTTTTCCAATCTATCGATCCCCTTTCCCGCCGGTTTCCTTCCCCCCTCTTAACTAGTCTGTTTTCCCTTCTGAGCTAGCCACTTTGGCGGTGTTAGCCGTCCCTATTACCCACTCAAATCAGCGCTGGTGTCACTATCATTGTTTTTTTCTTCCTTTTTTTTCCCTTTCCTTTTTCTTTTTTCTTCCCGCTTCGACAGGATGGGAAGGATGTTAAGATAATAACCTTTATGCGTACTTGTATTGCTGACCGCTTCTCGTCTCTTGAACAGGTGACGTATCTCAACAGTGTGGTGATGCCCGATCAGTGACCTCGAGACATAATTGGGGAAAGTTACCGGTGCCTACATGGCTTCGGACGGGAGGGGGTGAGAGATCTGTGTTCTGTTTCACCTCCCTTTGCTTCCGAGCATGTGCGTTGTATGAGAGTTGTGGGATGTACGGAGTAGTTGTTCGTATTTGTTACCTGCCGAATTTCGCTATTTTTTTATTTTTCTCATTCGACATTTTTTAGCTCGGGTCTTTTGTCTCTGGCAACTCCTCGACTTAAACCCGGGATGCCATCCCCCACCTTGACGCCTCCTGCACATGGCTTCTTTCGTCGGTCCCCGCCGCGTTTCCTGGGTTGCTGCTGCACGCCTAACACTGGTGCGAGACCAAATAACGTCCCAAACACTTGCTCTGCAGTCACATCCCCTCTACGGAGTAGTTGCTGCACTACCGCACCGCTGAAAACCGCATAGGACCACAGTACACGGGTAACGCTCCAAATTGAGACACTACCACTGCCCTTTCCCCTCAACATGACACATGAACAGTTTTAAACACTTCGACGCAATCCTGCTACCCGTGCTAGCACTCAATGGCTGCGATGCCTCATGTACTATATGGAATTTAACATTTTCCCCCCCCCAATCTACCACTCTTCTCATATCAAGAACCGAATGTGCGACAAAGTTAAGTAAACGAAAGGACTCGAAAATTTCAAAATTAAATGAACCACTCACTTGACGCGCATGATATCGCCACCGCAAGCGCCCGCGTTCGGCCCGTTGTCGGGCATGCCCGCTAGGCTAAAAATGGGCCTGCAGGCAATGTGGATTGAGGCCCGGATGGTTTTACTCCGCCGGCCCAGATTTTGGGCTTTGAGATGAGCACCTTCCTTCTCTGGAATGGACTCCATTTATTTGACTGAGTGGTATTGTTCTGTTTCTTCGTACGCATTTCGGGGTTTTGGTTTTCGGTCAACACCGTTCGTCTTGGTGATTTTAAGCAGGGTCCACGGGTATCAGTCTAGCATGTCTTAGTGGTCATGTATCAATTCAAAATTCTGCTCTCTGCGACACATGTAATTAAGCAGCTATGGCATGGGTTGTGTTCTGAATACTAGTACGTACATCACCATGGATCTTCACGTATCAAACCCAATTTTGTCATTTCCACAAGTATTGGGAACTGAGCCCCGAAGAACCTCGATCATGTTGTTACTTGCAAATCACAAAGAGATTCTCTGTATTAACGGTTATGTTGTAGGGTAGAAATAATCACTTGTCAATCTGTTTTGTTTGTTTAGTTCTGGTGCATCGACGGGCTGAATGTTTGTCAGCCTGGAACGGCCAATCAACTTAAACCCAGAGATCAAGGTAGACGGCTCGGTGTGCGGGGATCGACCTTGGAAACCTTGAGAGAGTCGGTCGATTTTATGAGGCATCTGCAGTTGTTAGCTTGGTGATACCGACACCCTAGTTGCCTTTGTATGAAAATCACACCCAAACTCCAATCCAACTGGAATCACCTAGCTAGTTTCAAATGCGAAAAGTTTAAAGCAAGCCCAGAGAAGCAATTGGCACTTGAAAAAGCAAATAGGATTAGTTAAGCTGCGCATGAAATCTATATGTCAAAGTCACTAGCTTCACGCACGATCCCGAAAACCCGCTTGGCAAGCAGCATCCAGAAAAAGTAAGGTGAGGTTGACTCGCTTTGTCTCCCGAATGGCGCCCGAATAGAGTTGGGGAGGTCTAGCGTGCAGCATGGCGGTCCCAATCTTGGTCTCACCTGTGTGACGAGGTATAGACACGATGGGGGGAAGCACCAATCAGATGCGCCCATTACGCGAATCACATAGTAAAAAAAGAGAAACTTGCTCAAGCTAACGAGAGAACGAATAACAGAGCAAAGAAAGATTAAAAGGCGGCTAGGTAATGACTTGCCGATCTTGCATATACTTTTCCCAGGATCAGGTAGTCATCAGGCATCTCTCATCACACGACCTGCACGTTCGAGTTCGTTGTACACCGACTTTGAAAGCACTGCCTCGTTCCGGCTGAGTGCAGAAAAAGACCCCCGCCACGTCAGATCACAGCACAGACCTTGCTTCCCTATTGTTTTTTTGTACCCATCATTACTATATTGGTGCTTATGGTGTTCCCGTGACTGTAACGACATGCGGGCTGCGCCTATTAGTGCCCGACCCGTCTCCATCCCTGCTGATAGACGCGCTCCCGTGTGGGTAAAGGAGGGGATTTATGGCTAATAGAAACCTTGGAATTGGCACGAAGAGAAAATCTGAAAAGAAAGTCGAAATTTTTTTTTCCCCAAATAGGAAGTTGAAACCAGAAAAAGCATCATGTTAATTATTTTGAAAAATGAAAAAAAAATAAAAAATTCGATGGAACGTCGCAGCCTACAAAAAAAAAAGCCCGGTTGGAATGGGTTCCTCTAGCGTTCGGCTTTCTGTTTCGACAAGCAGCGCGCGCTCAGTCCCTGTCATAAGGGCTAGTTTTGAGGACAGCTAGGAGGACAAACAGCATCGAGTGGCCAGAATCTTTGGATCGAGTGGATCTTAGAGATTCTCCGAAGAGTACGCTAGAATAGAGGGACAAACCTTGGAAGCTGAACAGGCCACGCCCGAGAGTGG